CTCTTAAAGAATATTGTTCTGTTCAGTCACATTTGAAGTGATTATCTGTCTAATAGTGATGAGACAACAGAGACAACATGACTTCAGAGGTTACTGGACCGTCAAATACAGAGTTTTTAGGTTCTGCTTAAGAAAAAAATGTTGATGTAAAAGTCAAAATCTGAAATCTTTAAAAGTCTTCAGAGGATTTTGCAAACAAGATTAGTGTTATCTTCTACTCCTTTATGTTTGCATGCTTTGCCATAGTAACTATCTGCTGCTGAAGAGACACTTTTCATAGATCAGTTTTGAGCTTTAGAGGAGAGTTAAACGATAATGAGGCAACAGTGACATCTGCTGAGGTATTAAAACCTGCATGGTGTTATGAACACTGGTGTTTTGTTAAATAAAATTATCAGATGTCTTATTTAAATGTATGACTTTTAATTAGTCACAATTAATATTGATATAATATAATTATAATGAACATAAAAACTATATTCTTGCAAGAAACTTCATATTTTGCATTAATTAAAAGTTAATAAAAAAACGTTCTCATGTTGCACTGAACTGTTCAGTGTGCAGGTGATGTTTCCCATGTGAATGGCTGTGGGAGCAGAATAGTTACAGGTAGGTGTTTAGTCTTTTTAAAAGCTAAGTGTTGCCTTCCAGTTTGATAAGTTACTCATCCACTCACTGTGCTGTAAGTATTTCAGTAGAATTTCCTGAAAGGCTCACAGAGRAACAACAAAATGAAAGCATTGCTCCAGTTTCAAAGTAACAGGCAGCAAAATTGGCATATACAACTTTAATACATTTTATTCTTTACAAAAAGCCTCAAGTTCTTTAGGTCTTGAAGAAATAGTTCAGACTTTTTGAAAGCAGGGTTCTGTGGAAAGGTTATGAACAATTATTATGTTACTTGTAGATAACTCAGAGGGCAATCATACAAATATTTCTGAAGTTCCAGGAATAGAATTTCTTGGTCCATCTCTCTGATTTTAAAGTCCAAATATGTATAAAACCAGTTTAATGTCCTGAGAATCTCATTTTACCGACATCTTTCTACAGAGAAAACCTTTTGTCCAAATCATCATTTATTTAATTTCTATAAATATTTAAATCTTTATGTGAATGTGGAACAAAAAAAAATTGGTAAAACAGTCTTCAAATGAATCTTAGCTGACCTGTACACCTCTGTCTGTGTACTTTGTGAATACTGAATGTACTTAGTAATGAGATGTGTACCTTTTTTCTGTGGTTGCCTTGGTTAATTGAGGTATTGGTCCTTTTTTGATGATAAATAAGTATTGTGCTTGGGGATATAAATGAATTGGGAGACAAGATATTCCTAAAACTTATTCTAATCAGTCTGAACCCCAAAATCAACATTTCCCCTCTCAGAGAAAGTTAACTCAAGAGTTTGCTGAACCTGCTCCCTGGAGTACTCCAATGGTAAAGTAACACTGAATCTGAAGGTAGTCTCACWGGGCTGCAACTATTGGTGATTTGTTGGCAAACAGCATTTGTTTCTTTGCTTGAATTAGAGGTTCACAGTAAATGATTCTTACCATAGTCATAGATTTATCAAGTCTTGAAAGCTGCATTTTTCTTTCCTGAAAGGTCTAAAACTTGTCCAAAAGTGCTTGTCTTCCATTTCAAAGTGTATGACAGGAGAAGTTTTAAATATGAGGGCAGCTGCCAAGGTGGGAATGATGTGAGCAAAGGTGGGTGATGACACAATATGCATAGCCTAGAATACAATTTTTCTAAAACAGACTTCACAATACTCATCTGCGTGGCTCGCTGCTCACTTGGTCACAAACRCAATCCATTGAAACTTAAAACATTTCCATATTTTCTTGAAATGTTGAGTCTAGTCTCCAACAGTCACAGCCCAATGAGACACTGCCTTTAAAAATCCACTGGAAGAGGCTCTACTTTATAAACTACACCATACAATTCTAATAAAATTTTGTTGTTGTTGTTTTTTTGTTTTTTTTACAAATCCAATATCCATTATGATTCAGTCCTTGTATATCCTATTAGGATAGGATTAGGTAAACAGAGAACATACAGGGTTAAGTTTTCCTTGAACTGAATGTGTAACTCAGGTTACAGCAAGACTCAAATGTTGACTTTCTCAGTCCACAAAAAAGTCAACAAGATGACAGGTGCTGTGTGTTATTTTGTTTCTGGCCTCCTTTGTCCCATGGTGCTTGGTGATCCTTGACCCAGATTCCACTGTGTTTAGATGCGGAGGAGCAACACGAGCCCACTRGTGACCCTCTAGGCATTTATCACCAATCCCCAAGTTGTATGTGTGAGAGCAGAAGTGCTTGCCAAGGCCTCTCAGGCTGTCACAGCTCATGGACTTATTTATTTGTTACTTGGGTGATTTTACAGYAACACAGTCAGTAATGTGGGTTCCCTGAAGAACATTATGATTATCAATGGGAAAATATAACTGACTCATGAAAATTAATTTTAATAAATTAGCATCAAGTAAAAGACATCAAGAAAAGTAATTATTTTACAGTACAGACAAGTAGAGATTTGAACACTGAATGCATGAAATTGCTTTACATTTGTCCACAAGACTTGACACTGTTGCTGTCCAAGAATACACACTAGTATGTGATATATTACACTACGTAGCAGGTTGTTTGGCTACACAAGGAATCGTGAGAACTTGTGTCTCTTGAATCTTCCCATACAACCAATGAGTGTGAGAGAGAGAGGCAAGAGAGGAGGAAATAGACATCCCTGATGGGATAAGAAAAGTTTCTGCTTGCAGCAGTAACACCAACGTGCAACTGGACACGCAAGATCGGCAACTCTGGTCATGCTTCCTCAAAGGCTGGGCAAAAGTAAAAGATCTCAGCTCCTGGAGGTGTGTAAAGCTTTTGCAGATTAGAGCAACTAAAACAAACTATGGCAGCAGATRATCCATGCTTTCAGGAAGACTGGAGGATAAAGATGAAGGAGAGCAGGAGGAATAGGTGCAAGGAAAGGACAAGCCAATTGACTAAGTCTGATTGGGAAGAAGAGGAAGGTGAAGATATTAGCCACCAGGAAGAGGATCTAAAAGGTGGAAAGGATGGAAACGAAGAAGGAGGAAATGAGAGTGAGGAACAGGAGGAAATCACAGGAAGAACTGATGAAGATGATCTTGAAAAAAGACTTCACAAGGAGGAAAACAGGGATCACGTTGGAGCAAATAAAAGAGAAGCCGGTGATGAGAATGACCTTATAGAGGATGATGAGGTGAGTGACAGGGAAGAAAAAGCAGAGGAAAACAGGAAAGAAGAAAAAGATTGGGGAGATGTTGTGAAAAGAAAACTTGAGAACAAGGTGGATAAAGAGAGGACTGGGGAAGGAAAGGTCTACATTCGAGAGGTTGGTAATGAAGAACAACATAAACCAGAACAAAAAGAGAAATTTCACCTCRGAGAAGACGTAGGTCGAATTCAGGCAGAAAATCTGCAGCAAAGCAAAGAAAGTTCAGTTGAATCAAATGTTGAGAAGCAATACATTCAAAAACAGCATGAAGATTCAGATAAACAGGAAGATCCAATATGGAGAAATGACRGTGGTAGATTTCAGTCCTGGTCTGTTGGGGACGGGACTGAAAATGATGGGTGCAACTTGTTAACAGGTGATGAGACGACAGTTTCAAAATCTTTGGAAACTCAAGAAGAGTTTCATGGAAATCTACAAGAGGAAGAGTCTTCAGATGACGAGGAAGCTCAACGTTCAATGGTTGATGATAATGATGATGGTGACAAGGARGTGAAGAGTTTCTGTGAGGATGATTACCCTACAAGGATGTTCCTCAGCTTGAGAGAATTCAGGGATTCCTCCCTCCTCACAGACCTTACTCTGAACACTGAGGATGGGAGGAGTTTGTGTGTGCACTCCCTGGTCCTGGCTGCCATCAGCTCACTAATCCGGAAGAACCTGAGCGGAAGCAAAGAAAGAAGTCGTAGAGTCGACGAAAGAGGAGACATAAATGRAAGAGCAGGAGTTCATGAGTGGTCCCTCTGTCTTGGTCCAGAGGTGAATCATGTCGGACTAGAGGGGATTGTGGAGTTTGCCTACACAGGACTCATATCATGTTTGAATGAGCACATGGGCCAGATAAGAGCTGCCGCTGAAGCTCTGGGTGCCCAACGGGTTTTGGACTTTTGTGCCAATAAAGAGGAGCCACCTACTAAAACTGGAGGATGCAGTGAAGACAGACAAATAATGATCAGTCTTCAGTGCATCAAACAGCTGTGGATGAACAGAGTGGGCTGTGATGTGATTCTGGAAGCTCCTGGTGGATCTCTTCATGGTAAGAACTCAATTGGAGAATTTAAAGAAGCCAAATCTGCATCATTTATTTCTGTTTTAAGAAGCCACATCACTTCTGTCTTCCTTTGAAAAAGAATATCTTAATAATTCTATAGTATGGTATGGTTTATTTTTTATTACTTTTGTGTGACCTCACAATAGTTTAGTGTTACCCTTCAATACTAGCATTATCTCACAATACTTTAGTGTTAACTTGCAATACTTTAGTGTTGACTCACAATATATTAGTATTACCTCGCAGTAGCTTAGCATTACTTTGCAGAACTTTAGTGTTACCTCACAATACTTTAGCATTACCTCACAAGATTTTAGCATTAACTCGCAATACTTTAGCGTTACCTTGCAGTACCTTAGCATTACTTTGCAGTAGCTTAGCATTACTTTGCAGTACTTTAGTCTTACCTAGTAATACTTTAGTGTTAACTTGCAATACTTTAGTGTCACAATACTTTAGTGTTACCTCACAATATATTGGCATTACCTTGCAGTAGCTTAGAATTACTTTGCAATACTTTAGTGTTACCTCACAATACTTTAGTGTTACCTCACAATATTTTAGCATTACCTCGCAATACATTAGCATTACCTCGCTCTCCCTTAGCATTTTTTTTGCAGTACTTTAGTGTTACCTAGCAATACTTTAGTGTTCCCTCACAATACCTCACAATATTTTAGCATTACCTTGCAGTAACTTAGCATTACTTTGCAGCAGTGGTGGAATTTAATGAAGTACAAGTACTTTGTTGTTTTAATTAAGTATATTTTTCATGTACCTGTACTTTACCTAAGTAGATTTAATCATGGGTACTTTCGACTTTTACTCCATTACATTTTACATTAAGTATCTGTACCTTCTACTCCACTACATTTATGTACGGTAATATGTTGCATTACATATTACATTTACGTCAAGTTAGTTTTTTAATTTGTTTTTTAGTTTGAAAGTAATTAATTATGAGAGTGGAATTGCTGTAATTGGTCCATTGAGCCACTGCAAAGTAGGAAAATACCATTAGACCTTCTTTCAAAAAGAGCAGGGCAATTCTGCATCACCTGCTGGAGCATCAGCSACACTAGCACACCCAAAATACTTTAACATTACCTCMCAATAACTTAGTGTTACCTCACAATACTTTACTGCTACTTTRCAATACTTTAAGTCACAAAAATTGTTCATTAACTCAAGAGAGCTATTTGCTGCACACTCATGACAAGTTTACAAAACAAATGACTAAATAGTCTTAATTTTCATAAATACAGAATGTTTTCTAGTATTTTGTTTACTTTATAGTTGTAACAATTTATATAGTTCAAATTTAAAGGTAACATAAAACTTTTGCATGGAATTGCAAAAGGTTTTTAG